GCCGTCCACCCTTAACTGGAGCTCTGGAATGTTCCTGCTCCGTTCTAGCCCCGTCATAGGCGGCAGTCCCGGTGGATTTCACTGTGGATTTGGGTGGTCAGGTTTTATTATTAATAATAAACTGTGTACAGTTGGGTACTTGGCAAGCTTGTGTCGACTCTGCAGCCCTCAGAGTGTGGTCTTGTGGTGAGGACACAGGGCCGCAGGCCCCTGTGGTGGACGCCACTCGGGGCTCTTATGTAAGTGGGGCCCAGGGGCCGGCGTCTTCCCCCGTGAAGGAGGTTCTTGTTTGTGCAGGCTGGAGGAGCAGCGGCGGCCGGCGCAGAGGACACGAAGCATCTCCAGCAGTTAAGCATTTGAAAACACGGTGTGCAGCATCTGTTTATTCTCCTGGGGTTTTTTTTTTTTTAAGTAAATTTCTTATTGAGTATTTAATAAATATCGTTACACTTGTAAATATTTACATTACTTCTTATTTTAAATAATTCTTCACTTTTATTCATTGATACCAAGTAATGCGATTCATTTGACAGTATGGTGGCAGTTTTCATCACATTGAGCAAGAACACACTGTCTTGAACCAGCTAGGTTTTGATTTAGATTAACGGCACTTGGGAATCTAAGACACACACCTCTTCACATCAGCTCGGGGAAGGAGCAGGAGCAGGGTGGACTCTGCCCGAGCAGTGCGGAGCGAACACAGCCCCGCTTTCTCTCACTGCCGTTCACACGCACAGCCCCGCGGGGAATGGAGCGAGGTCACTGAGCAAGTCCTTTGCTTTGTGTAAAAATGACGTGAAAGGCTGCTCCTGAAAGTCATTAGGTGTCCGTTCTGTGAAGTTGTGCCTCTTTCAGAGGCAAGGGGGTGGGGAGAAAAAGGAGCCCTTTCAGGCAGAAGCCAAGCGAAACCTGCCACAGCTCCGTCGTCTGGACTCACTAGGTCCGGGCCCCGGCCCTCCGGGAGCACAGCCGTCCCTCCCCACCTGCCCCGCCCCACCCAGAGCTGCTGTCCTCCTCTGTCTGCCCCACTCAGCTGTTCCTCGCTCGCTTACTCCTTAGGTCTCGGGCGCACTCTCTGCCCCCTGGTATAGGAAGAACTTGGCCTCTTATCCACCACTTCATCTCTGCTGGCCAGAACGGGCTGGCATCTCATAGAGCCTCTATAGAAAACTCCGTCCAGGGGATGAGTGATACTCAATGTGAATTAAGGAAAAAAAAAAAAGTAAAAGTAAAAATTAGGGAGATCTGCTCTCCATTTATTGAATGGGTTTTTTCATTCTAGAACTTTAAGTGAGAAACCCGTTGACAGATGAGCGTGTGTATAACCAGAAGTTCTGAAACAGGGTAGGGGGTCAGAATCAGCCCCTCATTTTGAATACTCTCCTAGTCAAGTCTGAAAGATCAAAAGAAGATTCCTTGGTGGTTAGAAAGGTCCTGAATCGATGACTTATGTTCCTCATGTTTCCTGCTGGCCAGGCCTGTGCTGGGCGTGGGTGGGGCATGAACGCCAGTCATGCCCACCACCCAGCCCTGCAGAGAGGAAGCCAGGCAGGACCCAGGCTTGTGGCCAAGTCACCCTTTGCCACCAAATGGTGTTTGCAGAAGCAGGGAGAGAGTATGGGTTATAAAGTGGGGTCTGCTGGCCCTGTTCCTGGGGTGCACACCCTCCCCCGTGGAGGGCCAGTGAATCCACAGTAACAGCTGTCCCTGGCAGCCGGTGTTTTGAGGAGGTAAGGCTGACTACACTGAGTTTGGGTCTGCTGGAAAATGTTGAGGACGTCCTCATCCTGCACACTGAGAACCTGCTTCTTGTCCTGCTCTGCTGCTTCCACTCAAAGATGGCCGTGCAGAGGGACCTGCAGGGCCATCCCCTCCAACTGGCCATCTGGGTCCTCATCCTCACTGTTGCCATCACCAGCATCATTGTGCGGTTTGACTACTTCCCTGCAACCTCAGCAGCATGGGTAGTAACCGCAAAAAATGTTATCAGTTTAAAGGCAAAAACTTGAAGTTACCCATTTCACTTTTTATTTCTTTTATCAGTAAAGTTAAGCTGATTTAACATACTCATTGGCAAATTTGCCTTTTCCTTTTGAAATTGGTCTTCTGTGTTCTCTGCTCACTTATCTTCCCCACCACCCGGCCTTTCCTTTTATTCCTGGTTGTGGAGGCGGTTTGTATATTTACGGGGTTAACTCTCTGGTTTATGTCTGGGTCTGTTTTTCCAAAGTTAGCAGCCTGTTGCTGATAATCTTTTAGGAATTCCAGTGATCACATGCCTGGGAATGGTAGAAGCGAATGGTTCCCATAAGTATATGATCTTCTGGCAAGTCCTCTTACAGAAAGACAGTTCAGCTAAAAGTGCTTATCAGTGACGTTCAAGTCTAACGGTGGGTGCCCTGAAGAAGCAGAAGCATCCCTCCTGTCCCCCCACCCCCCACCCTGCCTGGGGCAGCGCTCGCCGCAGTCACGACTTAGGTGATGAGACCATCTTCAGCAGCATGAGCTGGGGGACGTCACGGGCACAGCTCGACTCGGGCAATGGCGTTATTTTCTCAGACCGTGAGAAAGCACCAAGCCTGAAGCCTCATGCATCACGGGGGGGCCTTCCCGGACCCATGCTGGTGGCCGTGTACTTAACGTCTTTGTGTGTCCCTGGCTAGGCTAGTGCAGCCCCCACCACAGCCTGGGTAGACCCTGTTTCCAGGGCTCTCGTTGCTGACTGACCCTTGACCAGCCATTGAAGTGCCACCTTCATGTAACGGGAGTGGGTTCTGCCGTCGGGAACTCAGAATGCGCCTAACTAACAAAAACTCCATTTGTGAGTGGCAGCAAAGGCGTTTGGTATGTAATGAAGGTGGCCAGGAAAAGACATCTTTCTAATGATATTAATAATTTCTCAGCAGTTGGTCAAAATATCCATAGAGCCTTATATGCCAAAATCCATTTCTGAGCCATCAGAGTGAGTCATGAAAAAATTTAGCAAATAACCAAATGAATGAAAACTCAACACCAGAACCAAGGATAAAATTAAAATGATTGCCTTTTAAACCATTGAAAGGAAGAAACAATTGCGAAGTTTTAAGGAAAAGGAAAACTCACAAAGGAAAAACTAAAATAGACTTTATAAAAACAAACGTTTTAACATTTTACCCCAGTTGTAAAAGGAAACAAGAGGCAGGGTAAATGTGTGCGCACGCACACGGAGCAGCTGAGCGCCACAAACCGGGGCGTCTGTGAGACTTGGTAACTGAGCCGACCTCACCTGAGGCGCACCTGGCCACCTTTGTGTTCTCCCTCCACAGCTGGGGCATGAGAATATCTATTTATAGCTCTCATGTGGGGCTGAATCAGACCAGGGCTGGCATATACTAGGCTCTCAATACAGCCGTTATCGTAAGAAACCCACAGAACTCCAGTGGATACAACTGTGAAACACACACACACAGACCCACAACAGCGCCGTGCACATCACAGAAAGATTCCTAAGAACACGTAAGCCAAGGACATGAATTATCTCGCAAGAGAGGAAATCAGTGTGTGTGCGGTGGTGCTCAGGGAGGCCTCACAGTGATGCCTGCTGGCTTCGTGGCTTTGGGTACGTGGTGATTGGACCAGCAGGAGGAGCAGCTGCCCCCGCTGCAGGTGGATGGGTGGTTCAGGGGGTCAGTGTGCAGCGACGTTTCGTTTTTGTTTTGTTTTTTTTCTTTTGAGACAGGGTCTCACTCTCACTGCCCAGGGTGCAGTGCAGTGGCACAGTCTTGGCTCACTGTAGCCTGGACTTCCCGGGCTCAGGTGATTCTCCCGCCTCAGCCTCCCAAGTAGCCGGAACTACAGGCACATGCTACCACACTTGGCTAATTTTTGTACTTTTAGTAGAGACAGGGTATTGCCATGTTGTCCAGGCTGGTCTCGAACCCCTGTGGTCAAGCAGTCTGCCCTCCTCAGCCTCCCAAAGTGCCGGGATTCCAGGTGTGAGCCTTCGGGTCTGGCCTATGTGTAGGGATATTTTGTGCAGCAATTTAGCAAGATGTGCCAAGGGTTAGAATAGTAAGTTTGTCAGATGTAGTCACTTTGCCAACCTGACCTAAGCAAGTCATTCTAAAGATGGTCAGTGTTACCCACTCATAAATGTTGACTGCAGCGTGGTTTCTAACAACCAGAACTGACTCCCAGTCAGGAAGTGGTTTTGTAAACATGCTTCACTCACCCCACGGTGTGTTTTTGACCATTACAAACGCTATCTGAACATTATGCAATACTAGGCAGATACTTAAGGTGCTGTAAGAAGGGTAGAAGTACTGTGTGGTTAGATTGGAGATCTGAGGAGAGCAGGCTCCGTGCTAACAGGCCTTGTGTTCAGGGTGAGACTGGCCTTTTTTGCCAGTTCCCTTTAATGAGGTTTTGAAAAAGAATCACCGCCACAAAGAAAACCACAGTTTCGACTTCAGTCCCACTTGGTGCAGTCACTCTGCCTGAGTCTGAGCTGCCAGGCTGGAGAGGACAGGCGCTGCCCTTTGATGCTGTTGGAAGCAGAGCTGGCCGTCGTGTCGGCACAGGTGTGGAAGCACGCCTTCCTGTGAGACTGGCTTTGTCCCTGCGTGATGCTTCCATTTGCACAAAGCCTTCTCTCTTAGCTTCTGCTTCGCGGTAGCGAGAACGCAACCACCACGCTGCCACTGCCTAATGCAGAGTGTTCTTTTGTATAAGAATATTAAAACTTCCTTCAGAAGTGTTTGTGTTAGCTAACAATAAGTCTTTGGGATGATTAAATCTGCATTTTAAATATAATGCAATTATGTAAAATCTTGATGGGAAGAAGACCTCTTATTAATACCCCTCCCAGCCTTGGTTCTTTGAGGAAGCGCTCAGGGGGCCACAGCGTCCTGAAGGTGCATAGCCGTCCCCAGCCCTTCCCTCCCTCCGCGGCCCGCTGCCCTGCATTGCTGCTGTAGGGCAGAGCTACACTTCACCCGCCGCTGTGCTTTCTCCCACACCAGGTGCCGTGGCCAGCACAGAAGTGAAGATGAAGTTACAAGAATTTGTCCTCAATAAAAAGAAGGCGCTGGCCCATCGGAATCTGAACCACTGCATTTCCAGCGACCCCCGCTACTGGTACGGGTAAGTGTGGGTGTGGGGAGCACCCCGGCCTCCTCTCTGGGGGCCCAGAGGACCGTCTGATCATTGGTAGATTTGCATGGACCCAGTTGTTTACCTTCTGAGGCAGGGAGGGAGGGTGAGGGATTGAAACCCCAAGCACAGTGGTGCTTGGATATGGGTGACGTGGTCTGGGGGTACACTCGTGTGGCAGCCATCCTCACGGGGTGGGCCCCTCCAGAGTGATGTGGTCTGGGGGTACACTCAC